ACAATGATGTGCTTCGTTTTAGTATATACTTAACATCATAAAATACACTGAATACTGATGAAAATCATTGCAATTCATTAACTGTCAATGATTATCATTCATCCAGCACACATTTTTCCTAAACATCATTCATATTCAGGTTGATAATGTCATGTCTAATTCACCCGCTACAACAGAGTTATACACAAATGTTAATTAAAAAATGAACGCAGGAAGAAAAAGATTTCATTCAAATGGAACATAAATACCGTGGTTATTAATGGAAATCATGCGAAGTGATCCAGCTATTAAAACGTAAATATGGATAACATTAACATGACTGTGCACAATATGAAGTTAAATAATGATTGATACAGTCGATACTAATGGTACTGATGCTACAACAGTAGTATAAATAATGATCAACTTAGTGAAAATTTTAATGGTTCACGTAGTTTTATAGTTGAAAAAACGTGGTAATGATAAGTTAGAGGTGAAAAGTACGTTTCACTGTTCTATAAATTATAACTTCACAAATGAGTGATTGACATGTTTTCAATATTTTACTTTAGCTTGTTTGTTTATTTGTTGTTCTCGCTAAAAGCAAACCAATTTCTATACGAGTGTGAAGTACTTCGGCAGGTTCACCTTTTGTGATGACCTTTTGAAAGACTTTAATGGACCTGGTTAGTTATTTAAATGTGTATTGGGAAGGTTTGTTCCAACCTGGTTCACTTTTGGCACCATTGTGATGTTGGTCTTCAAGTAAAATGTTGAGTTTACAAAGCACCGGTAAAAGCAAATCTAAAATAAGCTTGGTAAACTATTTTTATATAACTGACGAGGTTTAATTAGGCTCTTTATGTGATCGCGATTTTTGCGTGGTGTTGGTAATATCCTTTTTTGATAGGACGTTAGTAGTGCTTAGATTGGGCTATGTGTTTTCCAGCACAATGATTCATTCTGTTCCATCACTCTACTGACTTGGTGATTCGTCCTGTTAGTGAGTATTTGTCGGCGATGTTGATATTAACTAAGAGTTTATGAAGAACTCTAATTCAACTTATCTAGTGTACGGATACTGTAGATTGTTTCGATGAAGAGATTTTATGGAAATATATGCTGATGATATAATTTCATAAGATAATAAAATCTAACCAAACCATACATTTCGGCTCATTCAACACTTTCAATCTCATCGTCTAGATCCACAAGTACAACATAATTCATCTCAAACAACTCGTGCATCTATTTATTGCATACGTTTGCGTACGTAGCTATGTTCAATGCTACATTATTTTTGTTCATCAATTTCCAATTAAGCAAAAAGTTCATACTGCTGAGAAATGTATATTAAATATAAGCTGATCGGTCGAAAAACATCCACTGTAGATACTTTTATGCCAGGTATATGAATTATACTGAATCGTCTACTTAAACACTGACACACGAAATAAGCTGTGCTTCTAAGTTTAGTTTAGGTACAGAAAACAATAATGTTTACAGTGTTATGATCGACATTGATACTTTAGATACTCTAAATCCGAAGTTAACCCAACCAATCGTTTTTCTCGTAAATTTCTATTGAATGTTGGTCGAATGAAGGATTTATCAAGATTTATATGCGTCTGAGAATTTCTTGAACACTTTCAATAGATAAATATATGATGAAACTGGATGTTGTGAACGCCTTGTATTGATTGTCTATTGATTCATTTGTTTCAGTTGTTTGTCTTAACACATTTCCCCATTGTGTTTACAAGTTAACTGTTTTCGAATTACTGTATGTCTTTCATGTTGCGGAATTTCATTAATATTAAAGGTTAGTAGTTAGTAAATTCTTGTGATCGACTCGCGGTGGAATGTCACTCGAACAGTGTTGTCTCTGTACGCAGAGTTCAAGTCGAAGATGGTGACTTGATGATTACAGTCTTATCTATTAGATATTGATTTGTGCCCAATTCGAGAACATTCACTTGACTTTAAGAACGACTCTGAAACAGGTGTGTTAAAGTGTGATGTCATCAAGTGACACGAAGCAGTTCTTCTGAGTGTTCCACATTCTTAATTTCCAAGTCATCCGTGGAAGCTCACGAAGACGAGTTCAGCAAAATATCGCTCTGTAATAATCCGAAAACATTTAAGCTCACGATGATCTATTCTGACGCGACATTTTTCCATTAATTACACTATTCCTCCTGAGAGAGAAGGAAAAGTTACATAATTCGACGCTCAGAGGATTGTTCGTCCTACATTATTATATTTTATTATAGGAATTGAGCACTGTAACTAATTCAACCAATAGACTTCCATTTAACGTCAGTGTGAAACAAAATGCATGTCAATTAGTCGTTAACTAAGCGTGAATGTCTGGACCATCACCGTTTTATTGATTGAGCATTTGGATATTTTTTCCGTGCTAAATCCCTGGACATTGAACCAAAACGATATCTGGTGTAGATTCTGTGAAGTATCAAAAGCGTTTTCTTGGAAAACTGTTTAGATAAAATACTGTTTCTATGTTCGCTGTAACTTTTATTCAGCAAACTCAATATCTTCCACAAGATGATGTATATACGACTTGCCATCAACAGGTTACGAATTTCTGCTCAACAGCTTTGAATGGCAAACAACTACTTCTGCGCATCAAATAAAGCACAAGAGAGTGTGTGAGAAATGTCATCAAAAGCTTCAAACCAGGATTGAGTTATGCATAGTAAAACGTGGGTATTCGGACTGGTTCAACAGACTAAAGTAAACGTTAATCGGTGGGTGAAAAACGCACGTAGTTGGATCATCATTGCAGTACTTATTGTATGTTGTTTATTACTTAATCACGGGATATTCTACCGATATATTATCTCGTGACTCCACATGAATTCAAAACATTTCAATTATTCACCCAGTCAGACACTGACGTTCAATAATATGAAGTGTTTTATAATTTGGTGAATACGAATAGCCAGTACAGATGTCCTCCTATGATAAGTGGAAAAATTTCAGAAATCGACTTAACAGCTACCGTCCACAAATTCCGTGTCTAAATAGGCCCTTTTGATTTACATGATATGTTGTTTCCAGATGAATTCAAAACCGAATATCATTACTGGGCTGATTTGATCGTCATCTAGCTGTAATGACGCACCCAATTTAATGAATTGGCAGATAAATTTAAACAAACGTTAATCATATTCAGAGCTGCTGAAGTAAAATTTCACTTTCAAAAAGCTAAGAAATGGATTATTCGTCAATTTTCATATATGAATTCATTATGTTACTCGTCAATGCATTAAGTTTGTTATCTCACTATTTTTTAAATAGTAATAGCTTTACTGAATTTACTTAGACTGTTGATTCAGAAATACAGATAAGTGCATTTATTGTGGTTCACTTGGATATATTACATAACACTTGCGATATGCTTTCCGGAATTTAAATCACTTTAAACTACGTAAGTTGGACAACGTAATTCACAACATCTAACTTGGAACAATTAAGTGATTAACAGATTGTTGTCTGTGACTGTCAAGTAAACAGATGTCATAACGCTTTGCAGTCATAATGGCTAAAGTTATACCAACTGTATTGAATAAACCTATTGGTGTTTGCTATTTTGTTAGTAATTCATTTGTCGTACGGTGATCACTGACATTTTTGTGTGCATGAATGGAAGCCAACCAATTAGATTGATTTAATTTACATTTCCAATACTTTTGAAGTTAAATAAAAACTGCCATCATTTCGTCTTTCAATGTGATGTGAACAACTTGTGGGATCTATCAATCCTTGTTTGCGGGTTGCATTCTGAGTATTGTGTGATTATTCACTATCAAACATCCAACTAAATTACCCTCACCAAATGTATAGTTCACAAATATCAAATAACAGAAACAGTAAACATTATTTATTCTTATTATTTTTCATCTTATTTTGAACTATTACAATCCACTTGTGTAAATGTAGGAAAGGTAAAATTATCTGAACAATGGCCAATTGGTGGGCAGTCAGTGAAATTATGTTTCGGATTCAAGCACAGCCAAACCTCTTCCAGGCGTTGCACACCTTTCTACAAAAATGAGAAACGGTAGGCCTTATACAATATCATCTCTACTCCCATCAATGAAAATAAATATTTCGGTAAAATTCACACGTTGGGATGATTGCATTTTTAAAAATAAACATTGTACATGATTCGTAAATGCAAAATGTTTACGAATTGCTATTCATCATATAACATGTAAGGTTTCAACGATTTTTACATTCGATTTCAGGAGATTACAATTATTATAAACAAAGAAAAATAGTGGCTAGTAGTATAATCCAGCACGCGCAATTCATCTGATTTGGGACTTCTCAGGTGGAAGTACATGCATCTCAGAGTTGATGTTCTCCCCAGGTCTCAAACCCTAATGTTTCTGCGTCAAACGCCATCACTTTATCCACTTAGATACTGAATCCTGGTAGCCACCTGTTACTGCAATGAAGTTAATTTTAAATTCACTTGCTGTTGTGTGCATCCATTCCTAGTTAATATCAGTCTTTGCTTATAAAGCTTGTGAATTAAGACAATATCGATGCAATTCTCACAGGATGCATATATTTCACCGTGAGAGATTGATCAATTGAAGTACTAAACACCAACGGGAAGATATGAACAAACAACACGATGTTAATATCTAATCACTGTTGAGTATAATTGCTCCATATTAAATAGTAGGCCAAACCTTTCCATGTCACAAACCTTTGTTAAATTTTTCTTCTTCACTCGTTGCTTGATTGGCGTCAAGAATCTCCGAAGATTGTGCTGGTGGTTTTGATTATGTTAAGATTTGTTGATCAATCTTTTCACTTCATACAATTCAGTAGTTGTTACCAATCTCACTTATTGTCTAACTACATTCTTGTTATCATATTACTCAAATATCATCTACTGTTATGTAACACTCCGAAGATTCGAATGGTACGATGAGTAAACGTGTTTTGTTTACATCTGAAATGAAATTGATTACTGACGTACTTACCTGTCCCTTTTTACTTGCGCACTGTACAGTAGCATTATGACCGTACACTTTCTTCAGTACATCCTGTAATTTGGTTGTCTGAACAAATGAATTCAACGGTTTATTTAAAATGTGAATGGTGCACGATAATTACAATGCTTTCTGAATAATAATTAAAAGTAATAAAGATGGTGAATTAAATGAAATGATGTCAGGAGTTATTTTGAATAAAGTCACGGGGACACAGGTGATACAAGTGAAGAAAGAGTGGGCTATGACCGAATTCACTCTCGAATATATTTTGTAATTTGTGTGTCTGTGTAAGTTGAAATATTAGTTTATTTATTATGTTGATGAAATATGATCGTAAAAATGATTTCGTCACAATAATTAAAAGTAATATAGGTGAGAAATTATGTGAAGCGATACCAGAATTAATAACCAGTGACATTGTGAGCATATTAGACACAACCGAGGAGAGAGGGTGATATTTTCAAATGTGAGATGGTAGAGGCACTCAGAGGTGGCCAGACACTGAAGCCCGTTCTCTAAGTATAAACAAACCTTCTACTTCTACCAGAGATCTGCAGTTAACTTATTGAAAAAGCGAAAGCTTTCAATATTTTCAATAATGACATGAACAAATTCACGTAATTTCACCGTGCCGGATGTGTAGGGATTCAAGTACACTATGTTTCATAAAATGAATTTCGTTTACCTAAAGTAGTGACAAATTTTAGGTTCCTGCCCGTTAATGATCAAAGTTCTAAATCCTTGTTTTGTTAAGTTTGAAAGACTTCAACACCCGATTAGTTCAGTGATCACTTGAGTTTAACATGTTTGATCACCGTAACAGTTTTATTAAAGAATTCGTGTCACTTTAAGTGGTTGGTAGATATATCACGGAATCGAGAGAGTTGACTTATTTTCTCAGGCTATTTATCAATTGACGAATAAACTTACTTCATATTGTGCGGAAGCATTTGGTGCGATCCCATTTTTTTCCAGATTTCTAAAATAATAGAAAATAGATGGAAACAAAAACAACAGATGAAGTGGTACTATTTAACAAATTTTCACTTGCACAGTAGTTTAAACGCTCAATTTGATCAACCGATAGACATATGAAATTATATACTCTACATAATTTTTTCATTGTAACCAAGTGAAAAGCCTGAATTCAACCAAGAAAGCATCCATGCGTCCACCTATAAGGCACAACACATCTGTGCATAGTTAAGTCTGTTTCACGAATTGATAAAAATTGTAAGAATTATCAGTTTAGCTAACTACATTTCGGAATGACGTCGAGACACAATTTTAAAAGTTTTTATGGAAATTTAACCATATGTTAAATACAACATTACACACTTACTCTAGTAGGTGCAGATTCTTCATGAGATCAATGCCAAATTTAAAGTAATCATACTGATCTTTCATTAGGGGATCCTCATTTACGCACTTACCATGTTTGTCAAATTCATGTTTCCTTTAAGTAAACACAGTTCAAAACATTTCATACAATCACGACATGTCATATGAAAATCACACGATAATGGTTTAAAACTGTCTTCGAAAGCTATTATCTCGATTTTATTATTTTTTGAAAGTTTCCTAATTGGAAACATCTGAAAGTTGAATATTCAGCATAAATTGCCTTATCATTTGTTTATTGATTTTTGTGTGATATTTTACTCACAACACATTCACACTATTGACATCTGTAAGACGACACATTGAAAACAGGAACCACAACATGGTAGCTCCTAACAACTTCGATTCAAAGAAGCGGTAAGAGATTTTTGCCACTGTGGCCGCACTCATCCGTCAACAAAGCATGTCGTCGGTAACTGATTGCTAATTGCAGGTCATTCTGCTTCCTTTACAACACACACTTCCACGTAAAGTTCATTCTTCGAGCCAAAATGATATCACTGCACACCTTCGTCTTCCAAAAACATTTCAACTTAGCAATTATCAAACGTCCTCATTTGCTTACTGATATTTACATTTACGGAGTGTGATTTTAATACCGTTTACATTGAAACAAGTGGTCGTAAATCTATATCGTCAAATCAACATCAATCGTCGTGTAGTCGCTGAAAGGAATATTCGATTGACGAAATATTATTAAATATCTTACCAAAATGAGACTGGTTTGCTGTAGTCTTTCAAACTTGGCCACAGTTTGTCTAGATCGTCTCGTAGTCTCTGAAATAGAATCAGAGAATGGATTCATAGAAAACTTTCAGTGAGTGATTTCAACAAAACAGTTATGCAAACAGGCCGGTTTGAGCATTTTTGGTCTGCAAATGATTTTTGTCGGCTGCACTATTGTAACCTTCCAAACTTATTTCCCTCAGGCATTATGATCATTAAGAGATCCAAAATCGATCCACCTTCAGCATTATCTGCTCAGAGCGAATGACTATCAGCTCAAATACTACTAATCAGCGGCTGGTTCGAACGCAGTAGTTCGCTTGAAAATTTTAGTACATAGATCAATAACCGGGTTCACAAAGATAATCAATAGGAGGTGGTGAAAACATAATTAAAATAGCTGAACTTTGGATCTGACTTACCTGTAATTTTGTAATATTAAATTGTTCTTTTGATGTACAATTCGGTTCTATGTTAGGAACATTTTTGGGCCTGAAATCAATGATATGCACAATACATTACAACTTATCAAACATTTACATTCATTCACTGAATTTTTTACTTCGGAAACGTGGTCACCCATATCTGTCGCTAAACAGCTATAAATTCAATGTGAATTGTGTACATCATTCGGAGTAAGTCTAACATTGTAGTATGGTTGATACCGTGGCCAGAAAACTTTATTTTCAGCTGTGAAACAGTGAAACGTAGACCATATAGTAATATGATGCTGATCTATTTTTCACTCCACAATATGAATTCACTCAGCCGCATGGGCGCACTGAAAACGATAAATCAATAGCCAACATTCACTCCACAATTTAACATTGCTTCGCAAACAACAAATTCAATGTTTTCAAGAATGCTGTTTGAGATGAGTATACAGGAGTGAAATCTTGAAATTTATAGGCGTTTTGGATGAGCTCGTATTAATAAAGCGTAGTGATAATCATTAGATCAATCATAGCAAGTTGGCAGTTCACACAAATAATGTTAAATCATTTTCCACCGTTTTGTTTGTATATATTGGAAAGCATTGCGAACACATATATTTAATCAATCAAAAGTAGTCTTACCACAATCCATGAATGGTGAAATTATTTAATACTTTCGGTAGAGGGCGCTAAATGAAAGAATTTCAAAGTATTGTTACACAATTGAACAAATATGTGTAAGAACATAATATGTGATGGGGCTAGTCATAGATATTTGCCAATTTTAGTTGGTTAACTTTTGACAAAATCATTCATGTTACTTGGAAGTAAATGGTCGATCTGCATAACTAACGTAGTACAAATTAATGATGCATATAATTGCTTAGCTCAAACAGTAATCATTTGGATTGATAATCACTGATGAGTAAGATAGTAGCTTTACATAAAAGTTAGCAGAATGTTTGTGATTCACAAGTTTGTGGCTACACATACTCAGTAGCGTTGCGGAAAATGTGATGTCATTTGAAGCGAACGTAACTGAGTTTGAGTCTGTGATAAAAGAACATTCAGCTGACGAGTTCCGAATAAGACGAAATGCACGTCCTGGATTCTACGGCTTGCCATCACTCTTATTGACATGAAGGCGCGATGATGTATTTCACTGATTGAATTTGAGAAAAAAGTTGCATTCAAAACGATGTTGGAAATTTTGATCCTCCAAATTGTAGATTGCAGCTTGCAATGTCAAATTTATTCATCGACAATTCATTGGATGAATGATTTTATTTTGCCAAGTTACATATGAAAATATTCCAGTCAATTAGGGATTTTCAATGCCTTCGGATTTCTTATGGATGTGTTTTAAACTTCATCGATCATGTTAATTGTATATTGGTTGCAGGTCACTGTTTTTCCTTGTATCAACACTTGTCATCATTCCCAACTTTCACATTAATCGAAAATATTAGTAAATAATGCAATAAGTATTGAATCAAGTAGAGAAGAAAGTCAATAATCTAGATAACATGATAGAGAGTATTTGACAATTTTGTCTGTAATGATCAAAGACTGACTACTCATTTCAAAAATAATGAAGGCCTTATCAATTTGACCTGATGCTCAGATAATAGACTTTGTCAAACAGTATATGGAAAGCAATCTTTAACTCACTGTGCTCTCATTACCAATATAGAACAGTTAATGTATTGTGATACCTGAATACATGGTCTTCAAAAAACCGATATATACACACTGCGATTTACGTGATTTGAATGAGTGAAAGATGACACGTTCACGGAACAAATATTGAGCATGATAACCCTGATTGTATAATCTCACTCACCATGTTGACTTGCATAAAAACACGAGTTTCTCACACGTTTACTTGAAACACAGCATGTGACATAAACACACGTTTAGTATTAGTCCATAAATGGATCCCAAAGTTACCATTCATTATACTTATCGGGACCTTAGAATAGTGTGAAGGTGTTGTGAGTAAAATATCACACAAAAATCAATAAACAAATGATAAGGCAATTTATGCTGAATATTCAACTTTCAGATGTTTCCAATTAGGAAACTTTCAAAAAATAATAAAATCGAGATAATAGCTTTCGAAGACAGTTTTAAACCATTATCGTGTGATTTTCATATGACATGTCGTGATTGTATGAAATGTTTTGAACTGTGTTTACTTAAAGGAAACATGAATTTGACAAACATGGTAAGTGCGCAAATCTGGATCTTCAAATACGTGATCAATTTGGTTACCTTGACTTTGGCATTAAACTGATGAAAAAAATCAATCTACTGGAGTATGTGATTCAAGCTGTAATAAATTTATGGCTACATTTCTATAAAAAATTTTAAAATCGTGTGTCTCAGTGTCGATTCGGAATGTAGTTTGCTAAATTGATCACTTTAGTATCACAATAGTATCAGCCAGGTGACATGTTTCGCTTGAATGATTGGTGATAATCTCGAAGTTTTTAAGCTCATCATTATCAAATCTATCAACTCTCCATACAGCAAAGTATTTATGTTTTGTATTGTAGGGACTGACCATTGGTTTTAAGGTTTGTCCTTTGGATAGGTGAAAAGTAAAATTGTAATATTAATCCATATTTTCTGCTTCCATAATGTTCAACTAAATTGCACAACAGCTGAAATCAAGTAGGACTAAGAAAGGGAATCATGGAATGAACAGATCGATTCTTCAACGACTTATCAACCAAATGATTATTTTAACAACAGACACTGACAGACATATGAAATAATGACAATTTGGTGTAAGGAATCCTCTTTTTCACGAAGTTTCTTACTCATCTACCTCGAAGGAGCCTTAGGCTGCTTTCAACTGAAATTGTTGGGAAATTTCAGAAATAATGATGAAGAGTACTGATAAACATTCGGTTGAGTAGTAAATTTAGATAGAATGTGGCTCAATCAATTATGCTTTCGTACACAGAGTTCAAGTTGAAGACAGTGGCCTGTCGACATCAATCTAATCTATAATATATTGGTTTCTACTTCTTTGGAGAACATTGGCTAGAATTCAAGAGCGGTTTTGAAGGACGATTGTGATGGCGTGATGTGACCACGATTCCCTATATGACACGAATATTATCTCTTGAGTATTACACATTCCTTACATCCAAGTCATCCACGGAAATTCGTGAAGACGAGCTCAGAAGTTGGTCGACCTGCGAAAATATGAAAGAGAAACAAATACTTGAATCCTACATCCAATTGCATATACTCAACTCACATAACACCTAATAGCCCGTGGTCTCGTGATGAAGCAAACCAACATCACAACAGGATTAAAATGCAGAACTGTCTTGATTTTATTTACCCGCACCTCTTCCAGTCGACCCACCCCAGCCTACGAAAATGAAAGAACAGGGGAGTTTAGACAATAGTTGTCAACGTACACACTCAAAATCGGCTATGAATGCAACAATAAACATAAAGTTTTCAGTAAACCCCATATATCACAATGATTATTTGCTTAGAAATTTTATTGCAGACAGTATAATTAGGATAAATAAAATTAAGACAGTTCTGCGTTTTATTCCTGTTGTGATGTTGGTATGCCTGATCATTAGACCACAGGTCAGTCGATGTTATGTGATGCTGTTACACACTAACACCATTTGATGCCGGCTCAGTGGTCTAATGGCTAAGTGCTCAGACGCGAAGCCAGTAGGTTCTGGGTTCGAATCCCGTGGGTTGCGGGATCATGGATGCGCACTGCTGAGGAGTCCCATACTAGGACGAAACGGCCGTCCAGTGCTTCCGGGTTTCCAACGGTTGTCTAACATCAATTAATTCATGATCTCAACCAAAAAGATGTTATGTGAGTTGAAATTAAGCTATTGGTTGTAAGATTCAAGTATTCCTTTCTCTTACGCTT